ATATATATATGGGCAGTGATTTCATGCAACGGTTGTATCATAGTATAATGCAACAATCTTCAAAAACCATGTTAAGTCCATTTGTTTGATCTAAATTTTAAAATATTCACACTTTTTATTCTAATGAACAATCACAAAAAAGAAAATTTTGAAAACACAACCTAAAAAATATTTTTTTAGCCCAATTAGCATAGGCCGTCCATTTTGATAAGATGCTTAGATCTAGGCCTCACTAACATTCGATGGCTTTACTAACATTAGATGAACAGTGTTAAAGAAGAAAAAAATGATTTTGAGTTTGTAAAGGCTAATATCTTGAAATTCACCAAATGAATGGTCTAGATTTGTTGTTGGAGGGGGATTCATTTTGACCATATCTAGAGTTCAAATTGAATAATTTTTTTTTTTTGGGATTCATTATTGAGATGAAGAGAGTGTGTGTGCAAAATTTTGGATCTTACAAATACCACAAACATGGTTTTTAAGAAGTGTGGTTGCATTATGCTATGATACAACCGTTGCATGAAATCGTTGCCCTATATATATATATATATAGGAGACATGAAAAGAAGAAAAAAAAAGAATATATATAATTGACTTAGAATTAGTCAGTTCTATTTCTCGATAAGTTCAAGGAAGGGATATAACTCAGCGGTAAAGTGTCACCTTGATGTGGTGGAAGTCATCAGTTCGAGCATGATTATCCCTAAACCCAAGGCAGATATATAAGGAAAATGTTTATACAGAGCCGAGGCTCTAAACAATCAGAGTCCACCTCAAAAATTTCACTAGAAGAGGTTTGTTTTGATCCCCAAATATCCTCATATTGATCATCTCGACATCAAGATGTATGGACATGAGAAAAAAATCGATTTCAAATTTTGGAAATAGTACATCTTGGAACGCATTTTTGGACAGTCAATTTTCAAGATTTTCAAGCTTTCATAGATCTGCTCGATCTACACTTTTTTTTAAACTTGAAATTTTATAATTAGAGATGAAAATATATTTTAAGGCTATCACAAAGATTCCCAGTATTGAAACCACATTTCTCGACACTATTTGAAGTTGCACTTTACTTTGATTGTTTAGAGCCTCAGCTCTATACAAACCACACCCTATATATAAACGCAAATATTAAAATTTCAGAGATATTCATACCTGTGTAGCTAAGGGTACCATCCATTTGTCATTTGAATAGATATTCGTGATATCAGAGTGATCGTCGACTACCAATGCATTGATAGGTATATGTGCAGCTGATGCAATTCAAAATAAGAGAAAAGGAGAAACTAAATTTCAAAAAAGAATTCATACCTGTGTAAGCCATTGATGACAGGTGACAATGACAGGTGACAACCATTTGTCATGTGCACCAATATAATTCATGGTTGCAAAGTGATGGTCGATTGCCAATGCACAGACCGATTTATGCAGGGCAAATGCAATTTGCACTAAAAGAAAAGGAAGAAAAAAAAACCAAAACAACAAAGAGAGCAAGACACTAACAACAAACGGACGAACACACAAAGAGGGGAGGCCCGGGACAAATTGCCCTAAAAAGCCTCCCCTCAAAACCCAAAAAAAGAAAGATTTATTAAGGTAATGTGGCTGGCTTGCAAGCGCACCCGCAAGGCAACAGACACAAGGACAAGAGTCAATTACCATTGATGCCCTCTACATCAGCCATTTTACCCCCCAACCAGAACAACCCTAATCTCACATCAGCTATCAACCACTGATAAAAAAACATAATAGTTATAAACTATGCATTCTGTATCCTAGCAAAGGATACATAACACAAATCTTAATGACTTGAATAAGTAAGGCTACTTGAGTCATAAAACATCCCACTGTGTACTTTGTGAAGAGCAACGAAGATTGATTGTACCCTTGGTTATTCTGATCAATACACAACGACAAGCAGACACGATCCTAATCTCCATTCCGTGGACAAAATCCGGCTCTTGAAACTAACATGGATCTCTTTAAGTGTATACTGTCACAGCATCCATTGAGCATATCTAGAGTTGAGCAATGAACCTAATAAAAATGAAGGAAAGGGAATGATGAGCAATCGTAATCTACAAACATGTAGCAAAAAGCTAACCAACATGATCGAATTAGTATTAAAAAACCAATGAACAGAACAATGAAATAAAGTCGAGGCACAAAAATAAATCCTAGGGAAATTTACAGATAAAACAGGTTTTATTTTTATATTTAAAAATAGTCCCATACATTTCATATTTTACAATTAAATCCACTTTCTTTAGAGCATAGACTGTATTTCAATTTTGTATCTTTTTATATGCATTGGATTAAGCTCAAATTTGGTATATCCATGCTTCTCGCCATCACACACCTATAAGAAATAATATTACCAATAATTTAAAATAAAAAAAATATCTCCGCACACGCTCTTTTTAGGTTTCATTCTTAATATACCCAAGGACTCAAAACATATCTACGGCATAGAGATCCTATGCATTATATCTTCTAACCCCCTGGACCAACTTTACCCCCTTAACCCCATCTTTTTAGCCCAAACAAAAGTTCAAAAGACATCATTTTTTTCTATTCTTTTCTAAACCCCCTTCCCTCTCTTTCTCTCTTCCCGTGTTTCTCCCCAAACCTCTCTTCTTTTTTAATATTAAAACAATATCTTTTCCTCCAGGGGGTAATATAATACATGAGATCTCTATGCCGCCAGATATGTTCTGAAATCGTGAGTTTGTTGAGAAATAAAACCTAAAAAGAGGGTGTACAAAGATATTTTCCCTTTAAAATAAAGAAAATTACCAAGCTACCCCTATGGTATTCAAGAGTATTTTGGCTTTTATTTTAAGTAATTTTTTAAATTTAAACTTAATCTGATAGATAGAAAAAGAGATCAAACAAAACTACGTTTTATGTTCTCAAAAAAGTAGGACTTGATTGTAAAATATGAAATATAGGGGACCATTTTTAAATATAAGAAACAAAATAGGATTTATAAATTTCCCTACATGCTACGTTAATATCATAAAAAACAAAGGGGAAGATTGAGGATCAAATCTGTGTCATCAGAACATTACCAAACCAGCCAGTTTAACCAGCTGCCCCAACTGGACCCCAAACACTGGGGCTCAATCGAAACCAGGTATTAGATTTTTTAACATGGTTCAAAACAACATGACATATTTCATAGCTTTGATTTGTTTTCATTGGTTCCACAGATTTGATGACCACTGAACCACTAATGAAACTCACCACCTTCCAGTTCGGTGACTGGTATAGTTATGGTGACACAGGATCAAAGGCATAATTAACATGAAGGTTCAATTCACAATAATACATAGTCCAATCAAAGAATCAAACCGTATTGTGGAATTTCAACTGAAGGTAGTATTGATGAGTCAACAAACCAGATATCAAAAACAACTACAAAAGTAAACTAGAAAAAACAAGACTCATATGACAACATGCCTAATACAGTAAGCCATGAACAAAATAGAAAATAAATACATAAACTTGACCTTTCAAGAGAATACAGAAATGATACAAAACTTCATTAAAGAAAAATACCACCTGGTATTATGCATGAAAACAAAAAAAAATCTGAAGTAAGCCATGAACCTTCACCAATAAAGACAAGAAATACATGAACCTTGACCTTTCAAGAGAATTCAGAAATGATATAAAAATTCATTAAAGAAAAAACCACCAATTGTACCCACAAAACTAGAGCTCGCTCTATAGAAGTTCAACTAAAAGGATCCCTTCAAACGAAAAGATCAATAATTCTAAGACAAAGAATTCCCAGTAAAACTATGTGCCAAAATAATGAGTCTTAATAGACAAATCCCAATGCAAGAGCCCAAAACATTAACAGTTACAAAATGAAAAATTGCCCAGTTATTAAGAGACTTCAACAAAGTCCAAATCATTCAAAGAATATCAAAATAAGAACACTTACTGTACATTATTCCTAATACAATAGCCCAAAAGAATAAATCATGAGAATTCATTATGATAACATATCAGATCATCAAAATGCTAGCCCAATACCTTCAAAATAACACAGCTAACCACAATCCTTTACCTAACTTTCTCCATTTCAGATTAACAAAATCATAATGCATCAAAAGACATAAACCCTAGCACATAAAACTTCAGAAAACTACAGCAAATCCAAAATACTTTATTTTTTCTCTATAATCAGCATTAGAAAATATAACCAAAAACAAAAAGAGAACCAGTTCAACAATTGCAGAAAAAAGAAATAAAGAAACAGCATCAATCAAGAAAAACAACACCTATGAAATCCTTGTCCCCAGAAAGAAAAATAACCACCACAGCAAGAAATAAAGACCATCAAAAAACAAACACCTACATATCCATGTCCAAGAGAAGGAAAATAACAACCACAGTAAAACACAAAGACCATAAAAACACAAGATCCACCAAAATAGAACATCACATTGGGAAATCAAAACAAAATCATCAGGGAAACTAAAAGAAAGAGGGAACAGATGAGAAAGAAGAAGGTTTTTTACCAGAACGAGAACAAACAAGGCGGCCTGATCAACCCTTACAAATGCAACATCCCAGTTCTTAATCTCCTCAGCCTGACTATTATCCTCTGCAACTTGTTGGGCGTCAACATGGTACTTGCATTCAATCTTCATCACGGTTAAAAAGCATAGAAGAACATATTCTACAGCTTGCTCATAAGGTTATCAACTAAACAAGGTATTTGCTTCTCCCACGTCATAACCTATACACAAGAAATTACCTGGTTCCTCCAGCTTTCTTAATTTCTTCCTTTCATTGCGAACTGCAGACCTGTCCTGGCAAATCAGAATTGGGCCCCTGCTGATTTGAAGCCCTTTTCCAAATTTTGAACAAAACAATATAAAACATAATAGGCAACTGAAACACACATTGCAGTTGATAATAGGTAACTGAATTTCTTTTTCTTTTGTTAATAAACAAGCTCCATAAAATCCTAAATGCTAACTACTACCACAGAGATCAATGATGAAAACCTATTTTCTCTTGGCGTATACGAGCTCATGTATCAAATGCAAATGAAATCATGTCCGCAAGGACCCATAACTCGGATTGACATAAAAAATTAGACTATAACAGCAAAGAATGAAATAATGGAATGCTAGTATCCCTGTAAGCCATCAATGACAGATCTTACCTGTTTGTTGTTTGGACTGATAATTTGTGGTTTCAGAGAGGCCAACAATAGCCAATGCATTGATTGTGCAAGTGTACAGCCTATGCGAGATGGAGGGGAAACTACAAGGACAGGCAGTACGAAATGTGAAAAAATTAAATATGGCGGAAAAGATGAATTTTTTAGATATTCAGACCTGTGTACGCCATAGGTAACATCCATTGTCATTCAGACCGATAATTCATGATTTCCGAGTGATCGTCGATTGCCAATGAATTGATTGATGTATGTGAAGCCAATGCAATTTGAAGTACGAGAAAAGAAAAACTAAATTTCAAAATATTTTCATACCTGGGTAAGCTGTTGATTGCAGGGAAAATCCATTAGTCATTTGGACCAATAATTTGGCGTTCCAGAGTGCTTGCCGATGCCAATGCATTGATCGATATATAGGATGTACTTAGAAGTAAAAGAAAAGGAAAAAAGCAAAAGAAATAGAAGAGAAAGACACTCAGAAAAGGCAAAAAAGCAAAAGAAATAGAAGAGCAAGACACAAAACAGGCACACACACACAGAGGGGAGGCCCGGGACAAAATGCCCTAACAAGCCTCCTCCAAAAACCCCAAAAAAGAAAATTTTATTGAGGTCCTCTGGCTGGCTTGCAAGCGCACCCACAAGGCAACAGCTACAGGAACAGAGTAAAGTAACATCGATACCCTTTACATCAGCCCATTTCACTATTCGACCCCACAAACTCTCATCTCGTAACAGCTATCAAGTGATACAAAAAACAGCATATAAGAGATTGGATAGATATAAATTACATACTCAGCATCCCAACAAGGGACACGGACCATTCACCTTAATGACTTACATAAGTAAAGCTACTTGGAGTCATAAAGAACCCCACTGTGTTCTTCGTGATGAGCAAAGACGGTTGAATTGCAAATATGGTCCTTCTGATTAAGACACAAATACAAGCATATTCACAATCCTCAGCCTCCATTCCATGAACAAAATCCAGCTCGTGAAATAATCATGGATCCCTTTAAGCATATAATCACACGGTATTTTATCGAGCGTATCCAAAAACCCTAAAACAAAAAAAACAAAAAAAAGAATGAAACTGTATTGTGGAATTTCAATTGAAGGTAGTATTCATGGGTCAACAATTGTATGTCAAAAACAGTTGTAAAAGTAATCTAAGAAAAGACAAGACTAACATGACAACATGCACAATACAAAGGAAATGCAGCTGACACAGTTATTGCAGTCTTATGCATGAGATAGAGAAAGAGATGGACAGAGAAAAAAAAACTGTAGTAAGCCATGAATTTTCACAAAATATAATGGCAAACCCAAAATACTGTACTTTCTTTCTCCAAATTCAGCATTAGAAAATCATAGCCAACACCAAATAGAGAAACAGATCAACAATTGCAGAAAAAAGAAAGATAAAGAAGCAGCATCAATCACGAGAAAGAAAAACCTGCGAAATCCATTTCAAAGGAAAGGAAGAATAACAACCACAGCAAACAAACAAATACCATCAGATCACAAAAATAGCAATTAAAAAAAACATCAGACCGAGAAATCAAAGATACATCATCAGGGAAACTACAAGAAAGAGAGAATAGATTAGGGAGAAGAATATTTTTTACCAGATCGAGCTGAAACAAGCTTGTCTGATCAAACCTAACAAAAGCAGCATCCCAATTCTCGATCCTCTGAAACTCTATAACCTTAGCAAAAATCTTATGACAAATTGGGAAGAGGGATGCCATGGCCCGCACATCCATCTTCCATCATATGATTAATGGCCTGTGATTCCACTGCAACGCTCTCATCGACCTCAAAAGCCTCTCCATCTGAGCTTTTCAAGATCACCTTCTTCGACATCTTCACCTTCTTCTCATCTCTTGAGATTTTCGCGTCTCTGCAACTAAAGCGAGAGAACCCCAATTCTCCCTAACTCTGCCCTAATCTCTCTCTCTCTCCCTATGGAGACGGAAACCCTCAGTCGATATGGCCCTGAAATTGGAAAATAATAAGCCGTCCATCTCCTCAGACGCCAATTCAAAGCTTGGATCACCGTCTCCTTGGAGTGCTATTTATACTAAACCGGAGTCGGCTATTTCTTCAAGGGTGTGAACGGGCCTGGCATGGATCGAGCCTTGTTAGGGTCAAGGCTCGATCCGGGCCTAAAAAATAAAAAATAAAATAAGAAGGCCCTGTCGGGCCAACTGAACTAGGCAGACACTCACCCTAGGCCAACCTGCGAGCACAATTTGTGGCCCAAGGCTGGGCTGCCCGCTCGGCCCATTGCCAGCTATCTAGATGGGAATCAATTGGAAGTAAACCGATATCATATGGCCTATCTTAACCCAACTACCCCTAAAATTACTTCTCTTTTTGTTTTTTTTTTTTTCAAAGTTAGTCTAATTTTTTTTTTTTAGATCCTTTTTAATCCCCACATCGAAGGAAAAAATTTATATAAGGATGCACCCTTACAATGTAGAACTACATATGCACTTAAAATATCCATAGGAAAATGTAGTTGTAATGTTGAAAAACCCTTTAATTGATCACCTCTAGATGTATGACAATGAAAAATAAAAATATTTTTAAGTATCATAAATAGTGCATTTTACAACATATTATCCACACCGCCCATTTTCAAGATTTTCATAGGTCTATAGATCTATTTGATTTTAACCATTTTTGAAATTTAAAATTTTATAATTATATATAAAAATAGATTATGAGATAATCCTAAGAACATTTTTTATCAAAATTATATACCATGATAAAATTTGAAGGTGCACCTTACCTCTATGGATGCATCCGTATGCCAACTGCACCCCACAACAAAACCCTATTGTTAATTTTATTTTATTTTATTTATTTTTAGTATTTTAAATTACCAATTTAGACTTATTTAGACCCAATCCAAATCATCGATCCAACAATCCGATACATATTTATAGAGGTGGGTCAAAAATCTATGCCACCAATCCGAGTTTTAAAAAGTGTACTATGCTTTGTTCGAGAGAAAGAATATGCAATTCTAGAGGCTGAGATAATGATAAAGATTTGATAAGAAGCATGAAAAGCCAAGAGATACGATCCTGCCATGGGAGCACTATCTATTTTAGAGAGAGAAAGTGAGTACACAAATTTAGAGAGATAAATAACAATAGGGATCATATAAAATGAGACCACTTATTTTGATACAAGGTGGTCACAATTTCTTATACCATTTGATGTGAAATTTGATAGCTTGAATATGTCATAAAGTTAAAAAAAAATTCTTTTAAAGTTTGAATGGGTTAATAGAATAATTGCAGCCACCTAATTTCACATCCAAGAGTAAATATTATTGTGATCGCTTTATATGAAAGGTAAATGGTCTCATTCTATACTTTCACATAACGATAAGCTTCTAGGCATGAATACATTCAAGTCATGAGATACGCCCAAATTTTGCACATGTGAACTCTTGAATATAGCAATTAACTTAAAAAATGAAAAATTTCAAATTGCATGTGTTTGTGAAAATAGATGATACTTTCAACCATTTTATTATGTAAAAATTACGTGAAGACCACCCCACCTGCAGCTTTTTTTATTCTTTAAAAACTCCCCACTTTCTGATGTTTCCAACCCCGGGTAGGAGAAAATAGATAGTTTTTTATTTTTTTCTTACTCAGGGCTTGTCTGATATTCAACAATCAAATAGATGTATTAATCAAAATTTAATTAATCATAAATCACTGTTTAGATAACAATATTTTTTTAACTACAATAACATGGAGAAGTTGGAATAATTAAAAAGAAAAATTAACAAAAATTTATTATTTGCTAAATTTTTTTTGAAAATTGGTGATAAAACTTTTAGAAGGTTTTGTATTTAATAAATACTTTAATCTTTATATTATAAAAACTATTATGTGCATAACATTTAGAAGCATAAGAATACAATAAAAAATAATAAAAATTTAAATCCATTTTATAACCTGATATTATAATAGAAAAGGAAGCATGCATATATCTGTATGTATGCACAAATTTGTTGAAGAAACTTGCAAAAACAAAAACGGGGCTCCTTCTTATAAGGCATCACCAACTCTCAAAAAGAATGAGTTTTATAGATTTTCTCTTTGACATTTAGAAATTGGCCATAAACTATTTTTAAAAAATATAAAATTGAATTAAAAAAACAATTTTTATAATTAAAAAATTCTCAATAAAAGGAAAATGAGCAAATAAAATTTAAAGCATTACAAATTTTAAATGTAAATATATAAGAGATTTAATATTATAAATTTTAATTTATTAGAGTTATATTATAAAATTTAACTCTAATTTTAAATTTTGAAAGATAAAAAAATCGCCACTAAGGACTTTTATAACATTTGAAATATTAAACTTTCTTCTTAAAATTATAAAATATTGAAATTTGTACAAATTAGAAATATGAAGAAAAAAAAAGCCAAAATTTAAAGGTGACAAAATAGTTTAAAACTGATATTATTTTTTGGTAATTATATAAGTGAGTAAACATAAAAAGTAAAAGAACTTAGATAAAATGGAAGGCATGCCTATCCTTGGATCTTAATTTAAAATTATTCTTTGTTTATGAAACGCTTGCCACTGAAGGATTCTATATAAAAATCTATAATAGTAAATCTAAACCCAATTTCAAGCTTCTCTACCATGAAGATGCCATCAAAACCAAGTCAAATCAAAAGGCCATTGGAATTTTGCGACAACGTTGATTTATGATATTAGTTTAAATGTCATGTTTGATAGGGTCCAATCACATCTTCTAATATTCAAATAACACCACTGGATGGAACAAGGCTTGTCTACTTCTCATGATCCTTAGAGGATAAATTTATACATAGCAAGGGCCTATGAGTCAAAGAATCCACCATTAAAAAAACTACTCAAACCTTGAAAGTCATCCCCTATTAGACTGATGTTGCTGCTCCCACATGAGAGGACATCATGTACCCGCTTTCTTCTTTTTTTTTCGGTAATTAAAAAAGTGGTATGTTAATGGGGATTTGGCCCCCGATCATTTGGTGATAATGGAGTCGGAGAACTCATGCACCCGCTTTAAAACTACTCAATGAAAAAACAACATGTATGATCTTTTACCAAGGAATACATTTTTTTCTTTTTTTCTTTTTTTTTTCCGTTCTTTTTGGCAAAAGATCACTGACAAGTGGTCTTTATTATAATAAGATAAATTTCAAAATAAAATCAACGTAACAATAAAATCAAGATCTTATCCATCTTGATGATATTGAAACAACTATGCAATATGCTTGAGAACAAAATATAAGATTGCAAGAAACAAAATGAAGAGTGCCGGAGATTATCTCAACCGGGCTTATTACAACCCACACCGAGTCACCACCATCCGATGGCGCGAGGTCAACAGTCTAGCTTTAATCTCGAACCGAGCAAGTAAATTTCGGCCAAACCACACCAATGGAACATGAACCCCTTTGATCACAAACTCAAACCCTAGGTGAATTCTCTTAGCAACTTCATTTGAGAAAGATGAATTCTCTTTTTGCTAAACCCTAAAACCCCTAGCCATAAATCCATATTTGAGAGATAAGAGAGAAAAACTACATAACCTAGACCCTTAGGTTCTTTCACAATGTGGGAGAAAGACGAAACATGAGAGAGATAAAATTTCTTAAGAGAGATAGAAATATAAGGTGTACAGATTTTGGGTAGAGACAATCTTTTTTTTATAGGCTTGAACAAGATTGGTTTCTTAGGGTTTTCCTTGGCTTGCCTCTTTTTGTGAGATTGAACATAGACCATCGATTAAGGTGACTTGTGAGGTGAGAGATCTGAGCCATCCATTTCATAGATGGACTATCAACATTATGGAATGTGCTTGGACCATCATCTTATTTTCCTTAAACTATTTTCCCATCAATATATTAAATAAAAAAAATATCGTATATTCTATAAAATTGCACGATCCATGTCACATATTCCATAAGGATACGTCAAATAATATCAAGTAGATAAATACTAACAATATAAATAAGGTAATATCCATATCAATTCGAATTTGACCATATATATTTAAAACAAACTTGCTACAAAATAGATAAAGCCATGATCAATATATCCCTTTCAAGATTTGATCACATGCCACAAATCAAAATAACATTATCTTAAAAACAAACAAGAGAATCCAAAGAGGGTGGAGCGTGCCACCCATTTGTGGCACATGTAGGCCCCCGCCCACATGCCACATGGTGGGCCCATGTGCACTAGGGGATCCCATGGAATATTTTAAAAAAAAATATTGTTTTAAAAATTGAATAAAACAATTTAAAATATATATTTGAATTTTTTTAACTTTGTAAGAATAATAACTGTATTTTTATAAGTTTAAAAATCACAAATAAAATATTGAGATATTCATAAAATTTCAAATAATAAAACTATAATCATTTCAATAATAATCAAATGAACACAATTAAATTAATATGATGGAAAAATGATCCATATCGTTTTAGAAATCCAATCTGTAATAACGGGGTACTTCACCTTCAACTGTGGATTGCAGACCACACTAGCTTTATCGAACCTACCCAGTGTTTCCCATGACCCACAGTCCAAGCAGGGGCTCATTAGCGGGTCACCAAAGTCAGGTCGATGAATCAAGGGGTCACAGCCCTAGTTTGTGGATTACAGGTCCTCCCTTAGAGACGAGTCAAGGTCACCACGACCTAATGCGACCACATCTCTATGGCCCATAGGGGTATCTCTCGCACATGCATACGCTTCATCCAAATGTGGATATCTGGCTTTCCCGAACGATATATCAATATGCATGCCGTGTGATGGAACATGGATGAGGTTTTAGCCCCTGTCTTAGTAGGTCACCATCACATACAAGTGTCACACAGTCCTTCGGCTCACTCATCCGGGCATGTTCTCTGACCTCATCGAGGGCTAACCCATAAACTCTCAACGGTTTGTTCTTCATGCCCAGGTAACATGGGTTTTTTCCAACCAACTGGCCTATATCGTTAAACACAGATCGGTATCAG